GTTAACTTGTGAAGGGAATGATTAAATTGCTTCTTCCTGCTGGATGAATCTGTAATGTAAATGAGAGACACTTGTGAACATCTAGGGGAAATGTGATCACAAATGAATTGTATGATGGGAAACAACTGTCTACCTGCTGCATTGAAGTAGCATTTGTGGGTCTTTAGCAATCATACCTGCTTTTGGCAGGAGGGCATGTGGTTTTGTGTTAGCCTTCTTCCTAATAACTGTGTGTTTCTTTATTTTCTTCTTTCCTTGTACAATCTACTACTCTACCAAGTCTTTCTGTATTTTATCAATTTTATTAGGCACCTTCAAGCTTTATGGGACAGGAGAATCATGATTTAATAATTTATATTAAAGTTTTGATGAACTTTTTGTACCAGGAATCGTGCCAAGTCCAGGGGATATAAAGAACGAGACACTGACATTAAAGTTTTCACAGAATAGGAATGAGCATGGGCATTTCCACTAACAACACAATAAGAATCCTGGCAGGGAAAGGGTTTTTTTGTGTGTGATAACAGATCAGAAAGCTTAAGTTTTTTGGGAACTGGTCCAGATGCAAGGTAATAGAAGAATTGGTTGGTATTGGTGCATAATCTTGGAGCAATATGCAAATATTGCCAGCAAATATGAATGGGGAGAACATGAACAAAGATGAGGAGGAGAACAGGGTCTTCATGGAACAACATCGGCTGCCCTTCTTATTACAGGCAAATGCATTATTCCAATTTACCAAATTAGTAACAAATGTCTTCCTTGAGTAATGTTGCCTTCCATGCCTTTGTTCTTACCATGAGGATAGTGATCACTGGTATAATCTCTCAATTTTCAACGGGATTCTGATAAAGATATTGCAAAACTGTGTTCAACAAAAATATTTTACAATCTTTCTTGAGATCCTGACTGACACAAAGACAAATTTCTCTTAGCCTTCTCAACATTAATACAAAAGCATTCTACTCAATCACAAACCTTACAAATGAAGACCCTACTTCCCCTCCCCCACAATAAAAGATTGCTATGGCGAGCTCCTTTACAAATACACTAGCTTGTTTAATGGTTGCAATTTTAATTTTGTAGGGAAACATGAGGGATCAAGACAAAGAAGTTCACTATTGAGTGACCTTGTAAGATAGCTCTGGAGATGATGTGAAGGAACACAAGCCAGTGAGTGAACTTGACAATGTAGCTGGGAACTACATTTCAGGGAGACTTCTTACAAAAGGAATATTAATACTAAATTAGAGTAGACTTATTTTTTGAGCACTTACTTTATTAACAGCTTAATTTATATTATTTCATTAAATTATGTCAGCAACCTATTTACAGAAGATGAACTAGGTCTAGAAAAATAAAGTACTTTTAAAGGGATACATAATTGGGAATTGAGTAGGTGTTTCACCAACTGATCATGTCTGGTTCAATATATAATTATATATTTGACTTTCATTTTTAATGCAAGTTATTTTTCTTTAAGATTTTATTTATTCATACAGAGCTGGG